AAGCCTATTCCTAATAGAAACCCGAAGATGGTGAATGACGAGAATGGCACTCAGTTCCTAACATTCTAATGTAGAAATTTCTAGCATGGAGGTTTTCACCATTATAGCATTTGTCCAATCGTGTGGATCCTCGCTGAGAACGTCTCCTAAAAAGAACCTCTCTTCAAATTAATCTATTTCAAGAATAATTTCAAGCGGGTCAAACTTTTTTAAAATTGGCCAAATTCGAATTGAATGGATCGCACATATTAGATGACCCAACTGAACTCGTCATGGTTGTTCTGACACTCATCGACTTTGAAACTTTAGGAGATGAATAGCACCCTCTTTGTAGTAGCTTAATTGTAGTAGAACTGCCAGGAATTGGGTTATGAGCTTTAGGAATGTCTAATGATGAGAGCATAGCCCTTGAGCGAGGCTTGCCTGTGACCATGGACCTTCAGTAACATTGTTCACTTAAAAAACCGGGTGAGCTCTAGTCTCAAGAACATTGCTAAAAGTTCCGAAATGTTCTGCTATGCATCACCGTCCGATCTAAAAATACCTCGCCAGAAATGGTCCCCTGAAACACATCTCTAGGAGCTTTCTGTTGAATGTTCCTTGAATTTCAGAATAAAAAAGAGTCATACTAGTAGCGCGCAGAACCACTTTCCTTGAATAGGGGGATGAGAGAAAATAAAAAGAGAAATTAGGCGTTCACTGAAGAAATGTCACAAAACGTTCAGGGAGCCTCTGATGAAATGAAAAAACACTTTGCAAAAATTCGGGCAATAGCCGGGGGGAAACCCTTGACTTACGCTCTTGAAGCGAGACTACTACCACTAGGCCACGTGGGCGCTTGATATCAAAGCGACGAGCTCGCATATCCAATTGATACTACTGTCAAGCAAATTTCGAGCCCCCATAATTTTATAAAGGTAACCATTTTGCAGTTTTCATTTCCAGTTTCGTAAACAGCATTCAAAACTCTATCGATTCATCTGGGTCTCCATGCAAAGTTTCAAGATAAGTAGAGTACCCCTCCCTGGTTAGCACTCTAACTCTCCGAGCTTAATACTCAAATTTTCTCACAATATTGCATAGTTGTCAGAGTTGCTCAATTCTCATTCAGTATCCGGAAGAGAGATGCAATGGATCGCTCGGACACTGGCTACCATTTTTGATGGTTGACCAGAAGTATACCAGCTGCAATGTAGTGATCAAGCATGGCTAGGTAAGATTAGACTATATTATGTATGGTATATGCATATCTACATCTACTATCGACTCACCGACATGTTATCAAAGCGTATACTAGAACAGAATGTACGGTAGAAAATTTGTGTAACAACCTCGTGGAAATCTCGCCTGTTGACTATGGTAATGTAGAGTAAGAATAAATAAAGGAGACAGATTTTCCGCATCATGTTCAGATTCTTGTCTTTTGTTCTGGTGCAGCGTCACTATATGTTCTACGTTCGAAACAGTATAAAGTCTTGTTCACTATCAAAAAGCCAAATGGTGGCATCTCACTCTTCTCTAGGTACCGAATAAGATCGCGTTTCTGCCAGCAACCTAAGCATACATGGTATATCAACTACTGACTTCCTAACAAGATCATTAGCTTTCTTCTATTATTATTATTACTACTCTCTTTGTGATCCGTCAATGACATCTGGCTAACAATGCAGTTTCAGTTCACTGCTGAAATCTTGATGACCACGATTCTCTCAGATTGTCAGCGCAATAAATCTGTTTCATCCGACCTGTTGACTTTGTTGTAAAGAATATAGTTCGCTTATATAGCACCACCTCAGTAAGCTCAGAAATCTCCAAAGTCATACTGTAAAGACGGTCGATTGAACATAAATCTATCAGTATAGCGCTTAGTCCAGTACAATTAGAAAATAACAGTTTTCTGTGTTCCACTCCCTTTCTCATTTACTATAAGAGTCTCTTGCACTGAGATATCGCAATCGTCCTTATCGTTCTCAGAGGGTTTCGCCTATCGCGTCTCGTCTACCGAACTTAATTCCACGATCTAATCTGTTGCGAGTGATTGAGAACTTCTAACGAGGCGAATGGGGGTCGTCTTGAACAACTGGGCACCTTGTCCGTTCCGAACATGTTGAGTGCTAGGAGCCTATCCTGGAGAAGCCTGGCAAGCTGATCCTGGATACCCATATGCCGAAAACAGCAGTATAAATGTGCTTCATTATCGGAGCGCCAAGTACCCTGCAGCGTTCGGTGGAACTGCTACGGAGAAGCTGCTAAAATCTCAGGACCACAACAGGCTGCCAAACGAAGAAGATTTGAGATGTTCATTTGTGCTTCCGAGATGCGGACACTTGCATCAGAAACGGCTGTCGAATGCTGATGTTGCAAAGTAAGAAGATCAAGTTCGTTGTCATCGAACTGACAGAGTGAGAAGGCTCCATGTTTTTTGAGACATGAGAAGAATTGATTTAGGAACATGCAATACCACAGGGGTGCCAATGTCCTCGTCACCCGAATGACATTGGACATGAACATCGATCCATAAGAAATCCAGATTGATGTGGCTGAGCCTCAGCTCTGACAGCCTTCTTCGCCTATGAACTAGTGTCTAGCTACGACCAAAAGGAGTTGGAAGTGCTTCAAAACAAATTCTAAAAGCTCTGCAGAAGACCAAAACTTGTTTGAAGATCATCACTATTAATGTTCTCAACATTTAGAAACACCTAGAAAATGAAGGACACGGCAAAGAATATTCGGCTCTGCGTTCACCTCTTCGACGCTGTGGTCTTTCCTGCCTTGACATACACATCGGACACTTAGGCTCTATGAAAGCATTATGAGCATGCAGCAAGCAGCATCGGAATTACTAAACAAGGCACGAAATGAGGAATTCTCCAATACGCACAAGTCCACAGGGATGTAACGACGAACGAATATCGAAAATGTTGCGTTCGCCCTTTGAGCTTTAATCGAAGTTACCCATTCCTCCTGGAGCGACTCCGTTTTGAAAAGGCTTGATGTTCTGTTAACTGCTAATATTTCGTCACAGTACGCGAATAGTGATAAAGAGTATCTAAATAGCGCAAGAAGGGATCCGAGTCTCGCTTGAGACGAAAATTTTGCCCATAGCTCTCATCTTTGTGAGATTTCGAAGAGAGAGTTCAAAAAAGCTTCAATCAGAACGTCTCTAGTGAATAACAACTTCTTTACTTGATCTCAGTCATACTGCAATTCGCACTCATTATGAGCCGCCATCAGCTTACCCACAGTAGAAGAGCATCGTTTTGCCTGATTTTCGATGTTAAGCCAGTGGCTACTGACGCCTGTATAGGCCGGATGACGGAGCAGTTTGTTGGTTACGCTCTGGAATACACTTTTCTCAACGTTTCAAAAAAGCCTCATAACGTTTTGAGCGTTCCAAGCGTGCTACTGCATTAAAATATTCGCAGTTAGTTTCACAGTGCTACCTACGATGGGTACTCAAATGTGTCAGAACCCGGTGCGTTCAAGCCAACGTGGATTTCCTTCGGCTTTTAGCTCTGAACAGGTTCTTCCGACATGGCAGTCGACTAAGTATCGTTTTCCTCCACCCCCCNCCCCCCCCCCCCCCCCCCCCCTCCCCCCTTCCCTCTCTAAATTATTGGTCTTACAGAATGATCTTAGGCCATTTGATGCTCAAAGGTGTACTATAAGAGTATATTATAAGGTTATGGAGCATACCATATGGTTATTTACAGAGCTGGCCGAATGGCATCGCATACTCTTTGTAGACGATAGAATCAAGCAACAATTAATTTTGAGCCTCAGAGAAGCTCTACGAAAACGATAGTAACCTGTTTGCTGCTATGGGTCAATCAGCTGAATTTGCCTACTAAAATTAAGGACGCAGAGCACACGAAGTAGCACTCCCTGGTTTTGGCGTCACTATGAGGATTTCCACTAGTTTCCTTCGAAGAAAGAGGAAATGAAGGTGGCCTCGGAAAAAAGCATGAACTGCTGTTCAGGGGAGCAAGATTTTGGCCACATAGTCAAGCAAACCATGGATCCATAGGAGATTGTAGCGATTCATTTCGAAGTAGCTCTCGAAAGTAGACCAAATATTCTTCACTATCAAGAAGGCCTGATGCACAAGCTACATGAAAATCAGGGTCTCTTTAAGATTTGAACTGAATAAATATTGGGTGTGCTGACCATCTACGAGCTGTGAGGAAACCAAAGTTGCCATGAATAATGCCATGTATTTCAGTAATAGATTTAGTACATGGCCCAGATCAAGCCTGAGATGTGCTCTTCAGGGATTCACGTTGAAGCATGGTGTAAGGGGCGAAGAAGGATCTAAGCGGAATGGAATTCGCTAGAAAGTCATCACATTCGACCATTCCATTTGGCAATATTACGTGCTTTACTGCTTGCAGTTCTCATAAGAGAAATCGGTATGGTGAGAGATCGGAAAATTATTTTTCAAGCTGTATCAATTTCTTGTCGCTTCTCGATTCGGAAGCAATTTGGAAGCAGAGAAGCCTGCCTAATTGAATGGAAATGCTCGTCGTGGGATACATCCTGCAGAAATGAGCATACCTGGTGAATGAGTTTACCTGGAGGAAAAAGGGAAAAAATTATGAGATTAGTTTGGATTGATCAGGATAATTACAAGCTGCAGAAGCTGAAGGGAATTAGATCTCAGAGCAGAAACGTACTGGAGATTGAGTATTGCTGATTGTGATTGTTATTATAGGTCAGTTGAAAGAGTGTGCGAAGGAGTGCGTGAGATCCCATCCGGCCCTCTAGTGTACGCATAGGAACTCTGAAAAATCTGCATGGCCGGTTTCCAACCGAGGCAGAATTCAATCTAAAATATAAGCTGATTCTTCAACGGGATACGGGATATCGAAGAAATTTATGAATGGGTTATTGCATCAGTGCTGTGAAATTTTAATAATTAATGATCAAAATCGACTCTTATATCAACCTGAACAGATTGTCAGAATGTTGGTGAAGGTTCGCATAATTGAATGTTGAACCCCCTACAGATCCCTTCACCGCGTCTTCTCGTCTCTCGCTCCGCCAGTTTTGACGTGAGAACGGCTCTGCACTGGGGAATGCATGGCGTCAGGAGTGATCTATTTGATCACAAATAAGCTCTGCGGTGAAGAATACATAGGACCACATGAGACCGGACGGCCTTTGATATGGGTTAAGGAACACTTAGCTGGTCTGAAGAAATCATGGTCTGAAACCCCTCGGAGAGCACCGTAGACAATCCACGAAAACGTAGAGTTTGAAGTTTTAGTCAGGATTTTGATGTGCGAGCCCACGAGCTCCGCGCGCGAAATTTCGGAAGCGTTCTGGATTGGCCCTCGCCGAAAACCCTATGATGAAAGACGAATGCCTGGCCACGACAAGCGAACTTGCCCCCTTTTTCGATCTGTGTGGGCTACAATTGCAAGTACTTCAAGTCTGAGGTCAGCTCACCCATAGCCCACCCACTGCGAGAGCATTTGAATGGCAGTTCGAAAAGTGGTCCACAGGTCATATTCTCTATTTTGAAAGTCGGCTTTAGTTTGTGACTTAGATACCCCTTTAGATATCTATAGGTTATACCTGAACTAAGCTGAAGTCTGAAATGGTGTTCGATATGGATGAATCTCAATGTGATTTGCAGGTTCTGACGAAGTCGACAACACCGAAACGTTGGCCAAACAAAAAGATATAACATTTTGACTGAGGCTTTACAACCTTTATATTTCTTGACCTACACCAATTCTGAGATGCATCCAATTAATGACCTCTTCACTCGAAGGCGCAGTTCACGATAAAACATATCTGAGAAATTACCATCTGATGAATCTGTGGCTCCCTGTGTTTCGACGGATCGATGATAGAATGCTCGATAGGATATTTATTTCAATATTTATTGGGACAACAAGTCGTAAATACATTTCGTACCATGGCAAAGTCAAACAATCTGAGGTTTGTGCAACCTTGTTCGCCTTGTTTTGGAATTGCCGGTGGTGGGCCCAACAGGCGACAAGTTGGAGCACTCAGCTTATTCCCTTCGGATTGTTGCACCGCACCGCTCTTGTTCATTGTTCATCGGAAGCGACTGTCTGTCTTCCTTGTAATTGGGTTGTTGAAGAGCGGAGGGCGAGGAATTCGGAGTTGGGAGTAGTGCCGTTGATACTGCCGAGCTGTGGAGTCGCCGAACTGTCAAGAACTGCTTGAGGGAGCCACCGAGAGCTGTCGAGCTCGCCGAAGGCTCTCGAGAACTGCTGGACTGACACAAGCTGAGCCTTTTATACCCAAAAATGGGCGGCTTATATAATGGCCCCGGTTGGCGGTGCATTTGGTCTTGGGTATGGAAAAGTACGAAATTCCAGCAATTTTGTATTTTGGTGTGGGACCAGCGAGGTTTCCGCATTTTTGGAGCCTAGCTGGAAGTATTGATAATGAAGTGTTCATGTGTTTCCTCGTTATCATGACAAAGAGTCGTGACACTCCGCACGTCGAAGAAGTTATGGAAAGGCGCAGGTTTTGCCGTTTGCATCCTCCCACCTTTGGATTAGGTGATTGTTTTACTTTCGAAAACAAGGTTGCGTTTGCAATCATATACTACACAGAATTAAGTAAAACATGCGTACAACAAAGACACAGGAATCGATACTATACACAAAGGTAAATAAGTAAGCGATGTATTAAAGCGACAGTCAAATGTCCATTGTGGTCGTGAAGTCGATGTTATCTTAGCTGCTGGTAGGTGCTACGTCGTGATGGTTGAGATGCGGTTTGTGTGGTGGTGTCGTTCGATGATGAGAGGTACTAGTGTTTCAGTAGTCATGTCGACGCAATTGGCCGTAGAGGGAGGCGAAGTAGGAAGAAGGTAAATGATATTGCTAGTTTGAGAAAGTTATAGATAAGGAGTAGTATTCTCAGTGAGGAAAGTGATGTGGTGAGAATATTAATAGTAGAATTTTTCCTTGTTCTTGTATTGTTTTTCGAAAGCAGATTGCAGCTGAATGATAGCGCGGTAATGAGGAGTATAAGGATAGTGAGCGAGTATAGGAAGAATTGTTCGCATGTGTGAAGGAAGTGATAGAAATCAGGTAGAGCTAGTTCGATGGAGAAGTCGGAATATTCGTTAGTAGTGTTAACGTTCCATACACAGATGCAATTCCAGAACGGCTTCATTCCATTGACATAATTGAGTGTTTCTTTGAGTTCGAATACAGTAGTATGTGTACCGCAGTAGGTTTTACAAATTTCATTAACTTTGGCGATATTGAAAAATAAAAACGTGATTGTAAAACGTAAAAATGTAAAAAATAACGTGATTGTACTCTCCACCTTTTGTAGATGTTAGGGTAAATTGTTGTGTTCCACATACGACTTGTGCTGTTGCTTCAGTGATATCCGCTTTGCGGAAAATCGTGGCCATAGACCCTTCAAGACAATTGTAACAGCCGAGGAGATCTTTAAGGAAAACTTGACATCGGAAGTTTTGAATACTTTGTGATATGTCTTTTACTGAAGAGTTCAAGAAAAGTGTCAGTTCAGCTGCTATTGCGTTTGTTTCTAAAATGGGTGCATTATATGTATGTGCCTTGAGTGGTCACGATCCCGCTAGGAATAGGTAGGGGTAGTGTGTTTTATAACTGCGTGATTCGAAAAATGTTGTTATTAGAGCAATAGCAAGCGACATAATCTTCCGTAGGATTGCATCTACAGGTGTCCTTGATTACGCAGTTTGGAGTAGCGTTTTTATTTTGTGGTGCTTGAGAACTGTAATTGCATGCATAATTGAATTCATGTTCATTACGTAGGAAAACTGTAATATGGCCGTTGGCGATAAATCGTTTATTTAGGATGGATAAAGGTGATTAGGAAAGGCTTGTTACTTCCAACGTAGATTTGCAATTGTTTTCTTGGTGTAAGGCTTGATTTCAAATTTTTGAGATATTTGGTTAGCTCCACTTATCTGTAGTTCGAGTAGAACAGTTTCTGACCATGATGGGCAACGGAAGACCTCAAAGAGATCGTTGTCGATTGGGACATGGTATATCCTGTAAAACAGGCATTTTGATGAGGGGTAGCCGCAAGAGCAACCCAATCCTCCTTAAGATTCGGAGCAGTATGTTATTCGTGTGTAGTTGTTCGCTTCTTCTAATTCTTCGACTAATGTCTCGGGCTGATTTTTGCGCATTTGAGTCCCGTACGTGTACCCATATGAGGACAGCGCTTGCTATATTCCACCTTGGTTATAGTGTTCCTTGTGTAATAAAGGGTTTCTTTTTGACATCGAAGGATCAAGGATTTGAGTGTTATCCGCATGAGATGAAAGTTTTGCTTACCATATTTGAGTTGAATGGAAGGTTGCATCCGAATGAGTTGAGTGTAAAGTGTTGTTCGATTGTGACAGTTGTTCTCTGAGGGGTTACATTGAGATACAGTTGACGGTATTATTGTTGTTTTATGACAGCTGTGTACGACACTTACGGTCCACATCAGTATTGTTAGTAGACGTATCATTGTAGTAGTTTTCCACTTTGTGTTGACTTTATCTAATACTAACAAGGCAATGTCATCGTCTGAATGTTTGTTTGTATTTTGTCTGTATGCGCGGTGAAGGTAGGTCGACATCATGTGATTGATTTTCCCGCGGATGTGACGGAGACATCGTAACGATTTGCGTATTAAGGTGAAGCTGACGAAGGCTGTTATTATAATGATATAGATTAGGATGGCTGTGATAGTTAATGCGATTCGGGACCAACACTGCGGGTTGGAGATCATTTGCATACAGAAATTGCAAGTGATTTGTTCGCAAAAGGGGCTTGGTGGGCATGCCCAGTGTGTTGCATGTGTTCTGTTCTTGGTTATTGTTTTTGTTGTAACATGATATGAGTGTAAAGTAATTTCAGGAGGAAATTGAACTGTTACGTTCTGGCTAGGGTCAGGGATTTCTATGCAGTAGTCATTACCGCACACTTGTATGCGATCGGTAGGGTACGGCATTCGTATGTGTATTCCTCCTGTTTGACATTTTAATCGAAGGTTTGCGAAATTCATCGCGCTTGTAGCTTGAAATAATATCACTGTTATGGTAAGTGTGAGCCAGTTCTTCCAAAAAGACAAATGGCGGTAAGGCGTTTGCGATTCTTCAGTGTGAGACGTCGTGGCATACGTGCTGTAATTTTTGTTGAGATGGCTTTAAGAGGGAGCGTGCTCGTTGTTTCGTAAAAGGGTTGTCGTTGGATGAGTCGATGCTATCAGGTGTAATGGTATCGTTATTGGTTTATTCATTATCGGTGATGCTGTTGTGTTCTTGTGGATTTGCTTTTCTTTCGTTTTCCCTATCTGACTCTAGGGGATGAGCATGTTTACTGATAGCTCGATGTCTGATTTTGAAGTTGTAACTTGGCGGACCGTACCGTTCCGTAATGATCGGTGATCAGGTCTGTTATTAGACCTGAAGGCATTCGAGACGCGTTAGTTTTTCATCCATGACAAGGACTACTTCCCCCCTATTTTCGGGTATGTGCGAGTAGAGCTTTTCTGCTTAATTCTGTGTTGATGGAAATTGCGTAGTTCTAGGAGTTAAGCGTATGCCATTCATTCCATAGGCATTTTAAGTAGGTCATCTGTGTGCGGTAGTATTGTATGGCCTGGTCTCTTGTGGAAACGTAAGGGATGTATTCCGTGTCGTGGTTATCATCAATTGTGATCGTACCTGAGAATGGTAAGAGATTGGCTTTAGGAATCAGAAAATCTATTGGACGGATTACTAATGAGTCTTCTAAGGTACTTCCTGCGTATACCAGAGGTCTGGTGTTGTAAGGAATGTAGTTTTGTCGAGTAGTTTTTCCGTTAATACACGTTAAGGGGAAGGTTTGGATGGTAACCGCGTCCAATGTCTGTGTCTTCCATGGAAAGAATTTCGTTGCTTTATTCGAAGTTAGTGGCGTTGTCTGAAATGATGAGTGCGGACGTTCCTCTCCGAGATATGAACCTTCGTAAGATGTTGATAAGTTCTAAAGCGGTCAGGTTATCAGTGACTTCCAAGTGAATTGCCATGGCCATGCATGTTGTCAAAAATATCCACCTTTTATATTTGATTTTATTCGAGTCTACAATCGAGAACGGACCAGTCTATACCTATGTGTGAAAAGGGACGTGTAGATTGTGTGCGTGTTTCTTTGATTTTCACTTTCTCTGTTTTTTGTTTTCTATTTTTTGTTTTTATTTTTATAATTTTTTTCATTTTGTTGTTGCCTTTGTTCTTGTTTTTTTGACTTTGAATTTTTTAAAAATTGCATTGTGAATATTGTAAGCTCGAGTGTTTTGTGCACCCGGCCGATGCACCATGTTTCGACGGATCGATGGTAGAATGCTCGGTAGGATATTTATTTCAATATTTATTGGGACAACAAGTCGTAAATACATTTCGTACCATGGCAAAGTCAAACAATCTGAGGATTGTGCAACCTTGTTCGCCTTGTTTTGGAATTGCTGGTGGTGGGTCCGACAGGCGACCAGATGGAGCGCTCAGCTTGTTCCCTTCGGATTGTTGCACCGCACCGCTCTTGTTCATTGTTCATCGGAAACGACTGTCTGTCTTCTTTGTAACTGGGTTGTTGGAGAGCGGAGGGCGAGGAATTTGGAGTTTGGAGCAGTGCCGTTCAACCAAGCTGTGGAGTAGCCGAACTGTCAAGAACTGCTTGAGAGAGCCATCGAGAGCCGTCGAGCTCGTGTCGAGAACAGCTGGACTGACACAAACTGAGCCTTCTATACCCAAAAAAATGGGCAGCTTATATACTGGCCCCGGTGGGCGGTGCATTTGGTCTTTGATATGGGAACCTACGGAATTCAGCAATTTTGTACTTTGTGGGAACCAGCGGATTTTTCGCATTTTTGGAGCCTCACTGGAAGTATTCATTGAATAATGAAGTGTTCATGTGTTTCCTCGTAATCATGACGAAGAGTCATGACACCCTGTATGCCAGATCATTTAATGGCCTAAACTGGGTAAAGCAAGAGATCAGAGATTGTATCGGCTGAATGCCACACCCATGGCGGACGAGTTTCGACGGTTTTGTGGAGACTGTACCATCTCGGAGACCCTATGTTGAAAATTCAAAAAACTGGACGTGACTAACGATGACGGTAAAAGGAAATTTCAAACATCCTGGACTTAATCTAGTCAACGCTCTTTACGCACTCGGGAATTAAAATCTGTCCGGTTACCCCGTATGCCATTTCAATCATGGCGATCTCGCACAACCTCTATTTCCTTCACTTTTAGAAAAGCTTTTCACTCTCAGAAAAGCTTGAAAAGCTTGTTTCTCACGGATTTTCTCGTTTCTTTGCCACCAATATACTGTCTTCCTCGACACTTCCTCTTTTATCTTATCTTAAGAAAGGTACCGCAGAATTGCCGTGATTGTGTCTTTTGTGCGTAGGGGTTTTAATCTGTGTATAAGACACACATACAAAACGCGCCTTTATCTCCCAGACGAGTTCGATACCAATTCATCGTTTCTACGGCGATGGCAAGGTTCTCTGACCGAGGTTACTGACACAGGCTTCTTTAAAAACACGTGTAGAGCCTAGGGAGGGCGCCAGAAACCTCAAAATGCACCCACTGCCGACAATATCAGAAACGGACGTGTTTTCTAGTCTTGAAGAGACGAGTGAGGAGAACCGTGGCGCATAATGAGGAGTAGAGCCAACCTTGATAAACATGTATTGGTGCAGCTTAGTGCCGTCTACTTCACCCAATGCCTTCACCAGTTGCCCGACGAGTTGACGTGCCCGGCACCTACCAAGTGAATTCAGCACCACATGGCTGGCGACCATCCATCAGCCTGATATTGAGCGTAGTCAGGAGTTCTACACATGGAAGTTCCTGAAAGGAATTCGACTGTATTTCCAAATCTTTCAGCAGGTCGGGGAAGCGTTTCAATGGAGAGCACCCAGTTGAATGATATTAAGTTCGTTATTTGGGCTTTCAGGTGGAGCCCTGGATACATCTGACGAATAGCATTTACTGCAGCTAATGAATCAACATAAAATTATAGTTACGAACACAAAATGATATATGAATACAGTGAAATTTTCTTTAAATCAAGAGTTGGCCGCTCTGTCAACATCTATGAAATACATGTGAGATATTGGATTTTTGATCCAACACCTGACTTGAAAATCATGTTAATAGGCAAATATCATATCAGCATACACATCAGAGTATTCAAGTTCCATGGAACCCGTTCATGCCTTTGCGACTATATAGAAGCTATTATGGAAAATCGATAAATCAAAAAATCAAGCAGTCAGCACCGCGCATGAGACCGCTATGAAACAAGGGAAAAAAGAATGAAAGGACTGGATAATAACAAAAATGGGCTTTGTATACAATAGGAAGAATCAGAACAACATATCACAAGGATTCGTGGGGGAAAACGATAATCGATCAAGAAAGTAGAAGGAAGATTTGACTGAAATTCATTGAGTTCAAAACTATGTATTTTGGTTATACATTTATAATTAGCCAACTTGTTTTAACCCACTATCTCACGGAAAAGCCCTCCAATCACGGAGTTTCATCGCCTGCCTTTCAACAATGTCGTTCTCGCTTTCTTCGGAGTGGCAAGAACTTGCAAAGGGAGCTCACAAAATGAAGAAAGTTCATCATGAGTGTATTAAGAAATTATCGGAGCTTTCGAAAATACAGGCATCATGTCTCAAAACAATAAAACATCAACATCACATTATGGGTAATCTCAAGGAACTTTTGAAGAAAGGAGTTGTCGAGAATATTCGAAAAGGTATGACTGGTGTTCGAGCAAAGTTGAAATCAATGGAATCTGAACTGCCTTCGCAAAATAACGGATTCTTTTTTCCGCTGATTTTGAGAAAAAATCGTAATTTGTCTCTGTCAACCCAGGATGAAAAGTATAAGTGCAAAACGGATTACGAGCTGTTCAAATGGAAAGTGACACTAGCGATTTTCGTTGTTGTTGTTCTTCCCTACCTATTTCCATGGAAAGTGATGGATACGACCGGCAATTTTCTCATAGTTTGGCATTACTGTACACTAACCATTTGGGAAAGCATCCTCAAAATTAATGGATCTCGAGTAAAAGGCTGGTGGGTGGCGCATCACTACTTGTCCTGCGTTCTTTCTGGCATTAAGTTAACATGAAGAGATGGAGAATGCTATCAAACATTTCGCCATCAACTCCTACTGTCCGTGTTCTACATAGCAATTTTGCAACTGCTTCAGTAACAATATCAATCTCTCTGACTCGACGACTTCATGCCCTCAGAGAAGGACATCAAATGGACATTACTGTAAAAGGATTACAAGTTCCATGTTCAAAGGACTCACCTTCTTCTTACCGTTTCTAGTGGCTGGCTATTTCTTCCAACTCTACAACGCCTATTCTCTCTGGTACTTATCTTACGATTGTGAAGGACAATGGCAAGTATTTTTGCTCTGCTGTATGTTCTTTATTCTGACCGTCGGTAATATCACAACGGCAGCTTTGGCGATTCTGAAGAAGCTTCATACTTCGAGCTCCCATAAATGCGTGGTGGGCGTAGCAACCAAATATCGTCTAGCCGAGGTCGTTAAGGAAAAATGATTGTTAAAACTGTGGTTTACGGTGAGGTATGAAGGGCGCAGGAAGAAGAGTGTTCAGGAGTTTGAAGAAAGGCTACTTCTTCGAAACTGCTACCGTACAATTGTCTGAACCAAGTGAGGTTCTGAAGAACAAATGACTGTTGACAACAAAAACTTTGTTGGTGGTTTTTGAGTGAGCTTTACTTTTTTATAGCTCTTTCCGTTTGTGTAAGAAATATTTAGTTTTAAGTTTGTGTGTAATTAATTACTTGTAGCATTAGGCCTTTGACCGTTTTGAGATTGTTTCGTTGATATATTAATTTTGTCGAAATCTTCTATGCGCTCTCCATCTAAGGAAGCCCCTGTGTAACTCAATCTCTCTGCTTTTTATTTTATACCTGAAATCGCCTAACATCTCGTTTTGACTTTGTGATAGATTCTTTTGATTTCTATTCATTTCCTTAATCCTTAACTTCCGGCCGATGCACCGTAAATTGAGAAAATGAGTCTTGGACACGATCCGTCACGCGGGATAGACAGATTTATTTGCCTCAAATTTGGGTAATTAAACCACAAAAGAGCAGGAGTTATCCATAAAAATAGAAAAGGATCAAGACTGATAACGTAGAAAAGGAGTACATCTCAAGTAGAGAGATGAAATGAAATGAAATACTATGAAGCAAGAAAAGTGCAACTTGCGCCAAATCCTTCGTATGTACCGCAACTACCGTACGCATCGAAGCTCTTTTATGCTTTCCTATCTATGTTGACAATCTCATGGCACAACAACATTGAGTGAATGATCGCGTCAAGAGCGAAGTAGTAGACAATGAAATGGAAACATCGACTGTCGTAATCCTGTGAAACCAAGCTTCACGAGCTTATCAGATCAAAATGGAGTCTAAAGCTATGGGAAGCGGTTATAGAATGAACTAAGGCAATTTACTATTTCATCTATAAAATTGTTCACATTTGTGATACCTATTTGGTTCGAAAGATTTGACAAATTGTCAGCATGCAACAACGAGGACGACACACACAGGGACAGACGGGGCAACATAAAAAGCTTGAAGATTGATCCATCCGTCCATGTAGATCTATCCCAACCAAATGGACCACGACCGCCCTTGTGGGTCTGAAACGGACCGAATCGAGATGGTACAAAAAGAAGGAAATGGCAAAAATCCTATACCTGTGGTCTTTCCTCGGATACTCGGCGGATCGTGGCCAAGACTCATTCACTGGCCAGGTCTTGCTGCCGATCCACTTGGAAGACACACCCGTAATTTAACTTTCAACTTCACTGCTGTATTGTATTGTATTGTATTGTATTGTATTGTGGGAAAAGGGTAAAGAAAAGTTTCACATACGCAGTGGTCAGGTGTGCTCTTGTCGGCGCTATCGTGAAGTGGTAAAAGCCAGTGGTCGGCGCCGTCAGTTTACCTGAAAAAGGCAATGTGAGTTCTAAAAAGGCCTTCTAGAAAACCTCGTAACGAAGATCGTTGATTAAAGTGTGAAAATATGAAGCGAACGCAAAACAGGTGAAATGTAGTACTTGGAGGGTCCAGGCTCTTTTGTACTTTGCGTCTATTCGATTCTTACTCCATTTTATCATCTCACCCCCCATTTTCATGCCTGTGCACTACTAATATACTGCATGCTTAAATACTACTAATACTGAATACTAATATGATTTACCTGACCACTTCCTTCCTTGCTACTTCTTTTATAGGCAATTTGGTATTATTTGGCAACATCAAGACAAGCATCTATTTAGAAGTGGTTTATTTGTTCCTTTAGTCTTTCCTTTCAGTTGTCTTGATCGGTACAAGAATAATCGAAACCGACACGCTATAAAAAGCATTACTTCAGAAGGAGTTAGTAACCGTGTCAAGAATAATTAAATTCTGTAGAACGAACGTTCATAATTACATTCTACATAACTATGAACCTATAAGAGGTAATTATTATATTCTCTTAGAAATGACACCTTCATATAAACCAATTATACCCCGTTTGTATAACACATTTATGAACATATAATTAAGCTAGGTATATATATGCAAGACAGTTAGACCAGTGAAAATACAACAATTTATGTGTGAAGGAACACTCGGTGACGATTACAACATTTCTATGGTCAATTATACATAAGAAATATGGTGATGAAATGTTGAGGACACTTAAATAGAATACGCACACATGTAACTCCTAAGAGAGATCCCAGTCTTAGCATTGGAACTCGTCACCTAAAATATCACTTTATAAATAACTTTTTTTGATTTAACATAAAATAATGAAGTAATAAAGTAATACAGGAATTATTTCTAGAGCATTTTTTATAAACGTAACAGACCAAGTTGTGGCATCCCATAGCATAAACATGAGAAGTAACAATTATAATCGCAATACCAAGAATTTTATCAGTAAAGGTATAAATAGTTTTCACATACATCGATTGGTCCTTCAGTGGATATGTCCCCCATGATGTACTATGCGATCACTACCGGTTTCGTCCCTGAACATGATCTGTTAGTTAATTGTATATTCTTCCCTCGAACAAATACATAGTATATCATTAAGTAGTTGCAGACTTAGCTAAAAAAACGCATGAATTTTTAAGGAATCCAAATGGGTAATAGAAATGGAAATGATTTAAGCATGTGAAAGATCATGAGCTGAAGACTAGTTATAGGCATTGATCTTACAGCGCATAGAAATTGATCTTATGAAGAATTGACGACGAGGTGAGACGAAATTGTTCATGTGATGAATTAGGAAGTGTAGGAAACAAAGACTACTTAGATTTGAAGGTCAAAAAATTTAAGATTCAAATTGTCATAAGGAGAATAAATTGGTATGAAGGATGTGCGCGCTCCTTCTGCAGTTGGACCCCATATATTCAGACTCCGCACGGACTTATGCAATAGACAATTATATAAATCAATGACATACGGATTGTACGCACTGGAAGGAGAATTTAGGCCACACTGGTAAAGGAAGGTAGTACGGTACATATAAAGGACTGCTATTATGAACGTCTACAGCAAGAGTCAAAGTTAAGAATAATTTAAAATACTTCTTCAATGCATGATAAAACAAACAGCAAACAGTAAGGGAAGTAGACAAGTTACTCATATTTATAATTCCAATGATTTTAACAACTTATATTCGCAGTTCATAGTATTTTTTAGGATCTTTATCATTTTATATTTCCAGTAAGTATTCATAAGTAGTATTACCAATCGTTCCTGAAGGGGTTTAGGGGTTGCACACTCCTGACAACAATCCTGTCGAACACATTTCGGGAGACCCCTATCTGCAAATGGGCTTGACCTCCTTATGCTCAGATTAAAAGGTCAAAAATAAAGGTTCAAATTATTATAGAGAATAAATTCGAGAAGGTAAGAAATGGGAAAAACCGTTACATTATGAAAGATTCCGGGAATAATAATAAGTGTTGCAAATGTGATAGAGTATGCAAATTCTGTAGCATAACAGACACTAGCAATTACATTTTTTTTCAAATACTACGGGCTTAAAAATCAACCTTTGTAAAGATAATTATACTAATTGTACTACTTAGAATGTCATTCATCGTATACCTTGTGAATGTTTTGAAATGCAATATGTAGGAATGGCTACAAGAACACTAAAGGATAGAATAAAAGAGTACCTATAATTATATCCACAAATAAGATTAACACACCCCTATATAATCAAATGCAAAATTGCGGAAAAGAAATGAGAGTCGCAGCACTAGACGCACTGAAAATGAATGATAAAAATATTTTACTAGAAAAATTTTATTTATTTTATTTAATTTTATTTTATTTTACTGTTCTGGATCGAACTCCTCACTACTTTCCTTTGATCTCAACGATAATTTTAAGGGATACGGCAACACATCACATCATATTAGCAATCCTAATAAATATAACAAAGCTCCTCCTTCCTTCGCACTGAAGATCACAAAAAATATAATAGAGGCAAAAAACTAGATAAAACTTGTAAAGTAAAATTTCCGTGTCAAGATATGATATTAGAATTAATCGATAAAGATGGTGACCTAGATCTCATACAGTGCCACCGACTGATCAATACAAAGAGTGATAAAGAAATTAATAGAATGAACTTCCAAGTACGGCTTTCTATGAACCTTGGCAAAACTATATTATTGAGTTTATTGTTATTCTGAACTCTTCACAAGATTTGTAAACAAGCTTATTAGGCTGACGTTTCGGCGATATCGCCTCTTTAGAGCCCGGAAGGATCATAACAATTTGTGTTTACCCGACCAAACGTCTAAACCAACTCACCGAAGTTCGAACTCCCAGGTCACGCAAATGATCGAAGGGAGAGGCACTCACCGTAGCTTCGTGGAATCTTCGAAACTACCCAGCAAATGATGCTACCAACCGACCAGTGTCAGCTGGGGTAAATCTTCATGAAAAGTCACTGCGGGAAGGCCAATCTTATATAAGGCCGCAGCTCCCTCGTGATTGCGGGACATTCTTCCCTACGATTCATTTTTGGATCGGTGACTTGTATCCAAAATGCTTCGAGGGTTTTGCGTGCGCACAATTCTGACTCCTGTGCTACGACCTCCACGGTAACCTCAAAACACCTCCGTTATGCTTTCGGATTCGGAAATCCTTAGGGAATCATCGAATTCGAAAGCATAACGGAGGCGTTTTTGAGGTTACCATGGAGGTCGTAGCACAGGAGTCAGAATTGTG